TCGGCGCGACGTCAGTCACCTTAACGGATACCGGCCCCGAGACCCGGGGGCTTCTGCCCTCCCGGTCCCGGTGGCCGAGGCCCTTCTGCGCGAGTCCCTGGCCACCGCCCTGCCCAAAGCGCCCCCCTCCGCCGCCTCCCAATCCGCTTCACTTCCAGCCTCTTGAGTTTGCCTCGCGCCGAGGCGACCACCCTTCTGGCGGCGGCGGATGAGGCCGCTGCGTCGCGCTCGACCGCGGCCACGCCATCCAAGGAGGCTGCCTCCCCGGCGGTGGCCAGCTTCCGCGCGATCGACCTCGGCCCTTCTGGCCTCACGGTTCCCTGGTCGGCTGACAGCCATGAGTTGTACTGTCGGCCGCTGGCGCTGGAGATGATCCGGTCGGTGTTAATTAGCGCTTCACCGGGAGCCGCCGCCATGTCGGTGGCCATGCTGTCCCAGATGTCGCCCCCGGATCTGTCCAGCACATCGATCCCGGTGCCCAGCTCGCAAACCTTCAGCACCAAGGCCGCGGAATTCCTGTGGCTCAGTGAGGCCTGTGTCGGGCTCATGCGGCGCGATGTGTGCACGGCCATCTCCTACGCCACACAGGGATCGATCAGTACGAATGCAAGATCCCCCGCCTGGGGAGCATCCTCACGCATGCATGCACATGCCTCGCTCGGGGCTGCCGTTCTTCCGCCCCCCCCCCCCCCCTCCCCCCCTTCCTGGCCGTGGCTCAATCCACCGCATGTGTTGCCTGCGCATTTACTTACCCCCCTTTTGCCACCCGTTCAGCCATCTACAAGCATGCCTTGATGATCTTTGTCCGCGTGCTGGCCATGTATCAGGCCCCGCTGAAGCCCGAGATCCGGCGTCTCTTCCGGGATTTGTTTTTCCGCGTTCTGGAGGTTGTGCCCACCGGCTCGACCTCGATGTCGGCACATGCGAACCAGCTGCCAGCACATCACCTCCGCGCGGCGCAGGCCATCGCCAATGGCCTCCCTCTGGCCTCCACTTCGCCGGAGGCCGTGCTTCTCATGCAACGGTCCCTGGCCTTGCAATCGCTCAACCTCATCCTGGGCGATGCGCAAACCCTGGTCGACCTGTATCTGAACTATGACTGCGACACGGCCGGCGAGGATGTCCTTGAGCCCCTGCTGTCGGCCGTGGCCCGGGTGGCCATCTACTGGCGACATGGCGGCTCGTCGCTGGCCGTCGCTGGCCCGAGTGCTCCCGCCGCTGGCAACGCCACCGCCACGGCCGCCGTCGGGCCCGTCGGGGCCGCAGGCGGTGCCACTGGCGTCGGGGCCCCCCTGGAGGAGGTCCGCCGGCATCCGGACCACATTCTCCCGCCGGCCTTGCCGCCGGCCACGCAGCATCCCGATCGCGATGTCAACCTCAACATGGCCATCCGGCTTCGATCGCGTGCGCTGCACTGTCTGGCCAGTGTGGTGAAGGCCATGGTGGCCTGGACATCGTCGGCCTCTCATGCCGGTGGTCCAGCCGATCAGTCGAGCTCGGCCGCTGGCGGCACCTCGCCCGTTGACGATGCCACCAATGGAGCGGGCGTTGATCTTATGTCGACCGCGGACTCGGGCACCTCTTCGGCCTCGTCGGTGATCGGCACCCCGGACCCGGCCATGTCCTCGCCCTTGTTGGCGCCCCTGTCCTCCTCGCACAGCCTCAGTGGCCCGGGCGTCCGTGTTGGCGATGACAACCCGGACCAGTTTGTCGAGCAGAAGTCCCGCAAGCTGGTATGCACGCGCTGGGGCGCTGTTCCGGCCCTTCTGCTGCCCCTCTCGGCATGTCATTTAACCCTTCCGCCCCTTGCCCCTTGACTGTCCGCCTTGCTTCAGCTTCTCCGCCAGGGCCTGGACCTCTTCAATCAGAAGCCCTCGCGCGGCATCAAGCATCTGATCGGGCACCAGTTCATTTCCCCCAGTCCTGACGTGGTGGCTCGCTTCCTGCTGCAACACTGCCAATCGCTGGACAAGGCTCAGTTGGGTGATTTCCTCAGCGGCCCGGAGTCGGTGCGTCCGGGAAGTCCCCCACATTCTGGCCATAGTATGCGCCGTGAATGGCCATTCGTCACCTTCTGCGCTCTATGAACGCTGCGCGCGCACACACACGCGCTCGCCCGCCCGCCGGCCCGCCCGCCCGCCGGCCCGCCGGCCCGCCTGCCCGCCCACTCGCTCTCTCCTTCTCTCTCTCTCTCTATCTCTCACACACACCCAACACCAACGCGTGCACAAGTTCAACAACAAGGTGATGCACGCTTTTGTCGACCTGCTGGACTTCAAGGGAATGTCCTTTGTCGAGGCATTGCGTCTTTTCCTACAGACCTTCCGTCTGCCTGGCGAGGCCCAGAAAATCGACCGGCTGATGGAGAAGTTCGCCGACCGCTATTGCGAGTCGAACCAGCAGCCCGCGGCCCCGGGGTCCAGTCTGATCTCCTCGGCCTCCTGGGCCGCGGTCTCGCCCATGGCAACTAGCCCCGACCGGCGTGCCGGCGAGGAGGGCGCCACCCCTCCGATTGGCTCGGCCGGGGCGCTGTCCCTCCTCTCCAATGCCGACACTGCCTACACATTGGCCTTTTCGACCATCATGCTGAACACGGATTTGCACAGGTACGCCAACCCCCCGGGGCACTGTTGTTTGATCCCCCCCCCCCCCCCCCCCCCGCCACCACTGCGCCGGGGGTCTGAGGCAGGGCGAAGGACTGG